GCGCGCCCCGCCGCCGCCCCGGCCGCACCCCGCCCTCGCTCCCTCCCGGCCGGACCGAGCCCCGTCTCCAGCTCGGAGCCAGCCCGGACGACCGGGAAAGACAGGGCCAGACGCAACTTTGTAACCCGAGGAGGCTCCTCTTCTTTGATTTGCATATTAATTCTGGCTAATCAGAAGTAACTCAGTTCAGAAGAAAAATGCCGGCGAAAAATAAACTTTTTTCATCTGCAGGGAAATTAACACTAGTCCCGCAGGCACACCTACTGCTCCCCTTGGGTCGTCTTGTAAAATATCCCTTTCAAAATTAAGTATTTATTTTGAAGTAGCCCCCTTCAAACGCCGTTTCTGCTGGAGATTCTTCCCTACATGTCAGAGTTGTTGAATTATTCATTATTGTAATTACTATCATCATTGTCATTATCCTCCTCCATGTGGAAATAATTTTATTATCGTAATTTGATATCTGAAGAATTTCCTGTTAGTCGTTTGATAATCATTTTTTTCTGCTGAAAAGAAAAGTTTTGTTTATAAATGAGATAGAGAAAATATTTTAAATGCTTTGATGTTTGCTATAGATTTCCGTTTATCTAATCGATCGGAATGCCAATAAAATCGATTAAAGGTTTAGTGTTTTACAAACAACCATTTTGTGCTTTTTGATTTTACGTTCAGAATGACTTTAATAAAGCTAATGTTTTCCTTTAACGTTTCTCCTTCTAAAACACCTAAACCGTTCTTGTTTTCCCTTTTATTGCTAGAAGTTGCCACTTAAAGTTCTCCTAATGGGAAAATACACCAAAAATATAAGGAATGGCTGAAATGGTTTAAATTTCATTCTCTCGTTGCTCGAGGTATTTAAATAAAGCCCTTTAAAATCTTGGTGAATTATACGCGATCATTCAGTGATTGCGGAATATTAAATTAAACTTAGATAAATCCGCATTGAAGGAGGCAGCACCCAATCCTGAATTTATTTCCCATTTTCTCTAACAGCATCACCGCACTCCTCTCTCTGCAATGACAATGTGCCAAATCGGGGCATTTTGAAAACATTTTCCATATGCTTTAGGAGGGGACTGATAGACGAACAAGGAAAGGCGATGATCTTTTTGCTCTGAGGTATCTTTCCTTAACCTTTTTCTCTTAGATTTTCACTGGTAATCATTTTAAAGCGAAAGTTTGAAAGTCATTTTATGTATTGTTTCTGCTTTGACCCTTTTCGTTCCTACCTTATAATTTATTCCTGAAATGGAGTTTTGGTTATAATGTAATGTAAAGCTGTCATTTATGTACCTTGACAAACAACACTGTCTTTCAAATCTTTTATAAATTTAGTTTCTACTAGGTGTCTTTGGTAACTAAAGATGTTTAATTAAACCTTTTAACTGATGTCAGGCAGGCTATTTGTTTATTGTAGTACTTAGCAGTGGGTTCATGTCTGATATTTAGGGGCATGGCATACAGTGTGGTGGTTCTTCTTCATCTAGAAGTAATCTCCACATTTGTCCTGGAAATGTGGGTGTTTGTATGGATTCAATGTCCTGTTTTAAAATGATCTTATTTGTTGGCTAGCATTTAGTATATTGCCTATGGAGCATTTCATTGACTAGATACAGATGCTTTTAGGTTTTGAAAGATCACAACTTTATCTCCTGTTCAGTGAAATCTGTTATTCCTTTCTGCCTCTCTTTCTGTCTTTTTTCTCCTGGTCTATCTTTCCCCATCTAGATGGTCTCTGGGAGCACTTCCCCAGACAGAATGTAAAATGTTCACTGGACATTTTTGCAGGAAATATCCATGTGTGTTTGAGGAGGGCGTGCTTGTGATCTTGGGTATGGGTGGTGCTGAAGTGTGGTGTGCGGGGAGGTAGTGAGAAGGGGTCCTCATTAATTTGCAGAAGAGCGGTGGAAGTCCTAGAAGTTAGTGACCTGCTATTGTCTGCAGAGTCCCGCCTGATTCTGTTTATAAACACTGGGCTGTTTGCCTAGAGGGAAAGAGGTCAGGGCACTGTCTGAGCCCTGACCTTGCAAGGGCCAGAGGGCGTCTGACTTCTCTTTCTCTCTTTCCTCTTTCCCTTCTCTTCTCCCTGATTCTTCCTCTTTCACACCCCGAGGGCCCCTCCCTTCTGCATCTTTCCTTTCTTTACCTGTGTTTAACCTTACACAACAAATCCCACCTTCAGGACAAAAAGGAAAAAGAAAAGAAGGAGAGAAAAAGAAACAAAAAGAGGCCAGAGCCTCTAGAGGAAAAAGGTTAATACAAATGAACTCAGAAGAAAAATCCAGGACTGGACTTTAGTAAGGAAAAAGATATACATGGATAAGGAGGACAGAGACCATGGGGGGGGGAGGTTATGATAAGGAAAAGAAGACCATAAGCAAATAAGAGTCAGGCTGCGGGAGAGGAGAGAACCAGAGAAGGACTTAACTGCCCACAGATACTACACACACATACACACTCCAAATACCTCTGTCTTTTGAATTCCATTCCCTTCAGCTCACTCTCACCATCAAAGAGAATGCCCCTTCATCGTGTTAAGTCGGATCTGGACCCCCTTTGTTCGTCCCCAGTAAATACACTTTGTTCACAGAGATGAGGTTCGGACCCCACCGCACGCACACACACACTACTATCTCTTGAGTTACTTCACTGTAAATGTAATGTGCGTGTGACACCTCAAACAAGCCCTGCGCTTTTCCATCCACTGTCAAGTTCACTTCTCTCACATACATGCACGCACGCACACACACACACACACACACACCCTTAAAAATAACAGGCATTGGTATCAAGTGTAAGTGTGTTTTGGAAGGAGATGCTGAGTGAAACAAAAATATTAGTTAACACAGTCCTTTGTTAAATAGCCCCCGGGTGGAGAAGACCCACCAAAAAGGGGAAAAGAGGAGGGGGCCGGAGATCTGAGGGTGTCTGTGGGGCTATAAAGGGCTCCTAACGCTGAAAGCTTGTAATACCTCGCCTCAAACTGAGCTCATCTACAGACCCCAGAAGCGCGGTCAAAAGACAGATCCTTTTTCCCCTGGGCTGGAGTTGGCCTTGAGCTGGAGGGACGCGGGGGAGAGGGAGGGGGTATTAGAGTGAGCTGGTGAGGGTAGCGCAGAGGAAGTGGGGACAGACAGACAGCTAAAGTCTCAGGAAACCAATTGTCAAGACCAGAGTCTCCTCCCGCAGATTTGGGGGATCAAACGCAAGGAGGAAAGAGTCGAGAAGCGGAAATCACCTTTTGTGTCCGCGTTAATTACTGCTTGCCCGCGGCACGCTGCCCGGAGCTACCTGGCATCTGCTCCCGGCTCTGCACCCGGCCGCGACCCAGGGTCAGGGTGCAAGTGTTCCAGAGCTGACTTCTCTGGGCTGGGCTCAGCTAGGGAAGTGTAGACCAGGGTCTGGAGAAAGTTCTCCGAGTAACAGAGAA